ATATAAGACCTGATGATGTTCCATCACCAGTGGGGTGCAGATGCAGGAGACGGTGGTTTGGTTCGTGACGTGGAAAGCCCAACAACGCGGCAGCGCCAGCGCGAACGGCGAAGCTCCCACGCCGACCGACGCAAGCGCGACGCCGCAACAATGGGATCGGAACCCCAAGAGGCGAGACCATCGGCAAGTCACTCGTGGATTTCGCACGAAACCGCGCAGAATCTCCCGTGATCGGCCGGGGCAAACCCGCCCTCCCCGCCTTTCAACCAGTTTTCCCGCCCGGAGTTACCCGTACCGTACGCGAAGGAAAAGAAAGGGGAGCGGCCACGCACGCTAACGCTAGCAGTAGTAGTAGCCCGCGCGGGCGGACGTGGCTTTCGTTGGTCCGGCAGCGGGAAACGACGGCGCGGGCGCGGCGGAGAAACTGAGAAAGGCCAGGTATTAGGCGACGGCGGAGGTGTAGTAGCAGTACGATACGAGAAAGCGACCGATCCGCCTGGATGCGACTGATGGGTTCGGTCGAGGCAACACCACCGATGGGTGCATGAGTGAGTGGGAGATGCGTCGATCGCGCACCACCCGCTGGTCTGGTCCACTACGGCGTTACCGGATCGATCGCTACCTTTTCCCCGTCGATCCGGCCGTGCACTGAACCTGACCGGATGTCGGCTTGCTCCCCCGGACGGACGGACGGACGGACCGTGGTGGATGCGGATCGGATGCGCTCTCGCCTCTTTGGCCTCGGGGACACTGGGTGGAACGCTACGCACGCCGTTGCTTGGCAATGGCACCGATCCGTCCGTGCCTCCGTGGATCCAGGCATCCGTTCAGCACCTATGCTTGATTGCTTCGCCATCACTTTTTCTGACAACATGCTTCGCCATCACTTTGGTAGAACTCTGTTTGTTTAGTGCTCCTACTAGTACTAGTAGTAGGGTATATATATACCAAAAGATCTAGCACTAGGGGACCTGCAATTCGGAGATCCCACGAGCCATGCTTTGACGGACCGTGCTCACTGTTCAGACCGGTGGGCCTACGGCCACGAGCGCCCTGTTCCAGAAGTCGCCAGCTCGAGGTCTGGATCTTCGCCGATCTGCAGAAAGCGTCGGTTGCAAGCAGACGAAGCGAAGTGAAGCGAGAAGATCGGGCGGCGGGACCACGGCCGCCGTGGGCACAGGCGCGCATTCGCAGCTGACCGATCCGGCATCCCGGGGTCCGGCGCTCCGGCCTCGGGGTCGGGGCAGGCAGAGGCAGCCGCAGCTTCTTCGCAGTTCGGCCAATCGGCCCGGGCGAGAAGGAGAGCACGGGATGGACGGGCCTTCGCTGCTGCGGCGTCCGGTCCATCTCGACGAATGGCGCCATCTTCAGCGTCCATGCCAACACCACACGGGCGAGTGCCGCCCTCACTGCATCTCTGTGTCCGGTTCACTTCGCTTATAAGCTGTATTTTTTTTTAGCAACGAATAGTATTTTTTTTTCACAACAAATTAGCCAATGATACTTTCAGTCATAACTTAGTAGCTAAACGAACGGGACAATACAGCCCCGTTCTACAGCATCGCACAGCACAGGGAAAGCTCCCCCTCCCATCCATCATCGTTCCTTCGGGTCCCGGCCGACCTCCATCTCCAGCCCAAACAATGGATCCCCGGTGCGTGGCTTCCCGCTTCGCTGATGATCGAATCAGTGGGTGGCCGGCAGAATCGCGGAAACACGCCCGAGCTTGTCCAGTATTGCGGAGCACCTTTCCCGATTATCTTAGCATTCTGCTCAAGCTTTTTTTTTAAAAAGACTGGCTTTTGTCATGTAACGTGCGGTACGGATTGTGGTTGAAAATTGTAGGGGTGGACAGATAGACATGATGAGATTTGGCCGTTCACTTACAGTACATGATTAAAAAAAAGCGGTGTCTTTGTAACGCGAAGGATGAAAACATCTTGTACCAATTGGAAATATTAATTACTATACAATAGTATCAACATTTATGTGTCTAATTAAGTTTACTATAAAAATATATTTCATAACTAATCTTACGATGTTGATTTAGTATAGTAAATGTTAGTAGTTTTTCATATAACATAGTCAAACTTTTAAATTATTTTACTTCTTGGGAAGTGGGAAATGCATTCTTTTTTAGGTGGAGAGGGCAGATAGAATTTACAGTCTATAAATGGGTATTAAGTTAGAAATGGATAGATAGAGTAAATATAACTAATTCTGAGTACCTGTGCACGTAACTTGCAAAATTTGAAACTGCGCTACAGCACAAGTTGATGTCCTACAGTGGACAAAATCGGTAAAGCATCAACCATCGTAGAGAAAAAAACTGACCAAACTTTCTCGAGTTTTAATTAAAACCATAGATAGAGGACAAGGACAATGATCATCACTAACATACGCCCTGTTCGCTTGGCTTATAAGCCGTATTTTTTCAGCCAATGAATAGTATTTTCTCTCACAACAAATCAGCCAACAGTATTTTTAGCTATGGCTTATCAGCCAAACGAACAGGGCACTAGTGGTTGAGATGCGTACCCCTAGACCCTTATGGCAAAGGCCTTATATTCTTGAGATGCAAATTAATTAAAACCATGAAACTGTTTTTGTTCCAAAAGGAGTAAAGGACTAACAAAAAAAATTGTTATTTTAGGGTTTAAAACCTTATTAGTTAGGAGACATGGACTATGATGAACTTCTATAGTGCATCTTATACAACCTTTAGTGCCCCTTGTCGATGTTTTACCACCGATAGCCTGCCACGGGGGTACTCGGGGCAGTATGTTCGGGCTTCGGCGTATGCTGAACTCGATGGTAAACGCAAGAGACAGTCGATTTATCCTGGTTCAGGCCCTCGATCGTAGATCGAGTAACGACCCTACGTCCAGTCAGCGTTTGCCTTTTGCGTTGGATTGATTATGAAGTGTTATGTTGTACCATTGTCCCCCTTTCAGGAGCCCTGCCCTCCTTTATATAGTCAGGAGACCAGAGTCCTAGTCAGTTTACAATGAGATTTACTAGTAGGATTACTTAATAGTTCTATTACTAAGATTACATGGGAAGAATCCTAGTTAAACTAGATCTTCTCTCTCTTGCGGGGTGTCCTGTGGGTCCCGCATCGACACCCCTAAAACTTTGTTGAAAAGGCCGTAGATTCCTGCGCTAAAACTGTAAGGAACCTATTAATCAAGGGACACGACACGAGCCCATCCATCCATGCTCTCCGGTCGTAAAGGAGAACCAAATGGACTTGCTTTAGCAGAGCTACAAAACACAAGGTGCTCGATGCAAAACCGCCTAACAAATCAAGTAGAAAACCCCACCCCTTTATCACCTTGCCCACTCTCAATTAGTAGCTTCATTCATCATCACCCACCCCTCCCCTCACTCATCATCTCCACACACACACAGAGAGAGAGAGAGAGAGAGAGAGAGAGAGAGAAGAAGAGGATCCATGGAGAAGTGCAGGTCGGTGCCGCACGAGCACTCGTCGGCGTACTACGGCTGCGGCGGCGGGTACGACTACGAGGACGTCGGCGGCGGGCCAGGGCAGGCGGGCAAGTCGTACAGCTTCAACGGGCCGAGTGGCCGCGACGACCCGGAGGCGAAGCGGCGGCGCCGGGTGGCGGCCTACAACGTGTTCGCCACTCCGGGCCGGATCAAGACCACCGTCCGCGGCAGCGTCAAGTGGCTCAAGTCCAAGTTCTCCGACAACCGCTACGGTGGCCTCTGAACACTCAACCTGCTAGCTGCATGCAGTCCATCCGACTACTACTCCTACACCACATATATATACATGATATATATATATGCATGAATCATGATGCTCATATGCAATTATATATGTACGCACAAGTTATATGTGTGCGGAACGCCGACGGCCAAGCTAAATAGCTGCTGCATATATATAATATATGGAGGCACTACTGTGTACATGCTATGTTTATAAGCATGTTTCATGTGTGCGTGTATGAACTGTGTGTGTGTGTATGGTTGGTCTCTCAAGTCACAGTGTGCTTGAGAACCGAGAGCTCGGGTGGCAAGGCCCGGTGGTTGGGACCTTGCCGGCCGGAGGGCTGCGAATTTCTGGTCTCCCCTAAATAAATTCCGCTGTCTCTTACGCGTGGAGCCAGAAAGGGAATGCGACACGCCCGTCGCCTACGGTGCCATGATTGGACCCTGGGATCTCACAAAGGACGCGATCTGGTGATCTGGGTGTGGTTGTAGGTTTGTTTGTGTGTGCGTGGTGTGTGTGGTGTGCGTGTGTGGGGTTGGTGTGTGTCTGTATATGAACAAATGCTACAGCTGTATCCAGATGAGAGGCGTTAAAAAAAAAGTCACAGTGTGCTTGCTTTCCAGATCGGCCTGTGTGTTTTCAGTTTGCTTTTGCTCTGTCAGGAAAGAAACGGTGGTTGGTTGTACTCTGCTTGAATCTGCAAATCAAGTTGTATCATCAATCATCATGCGCTTGCTTTGATCTGGTTTGCTTTTCAGTTTCCACCACAGTTGTTTGTGTTTTCTGTTTTGGATTGGAAGTGGAGGATTTCAGTTTCAGTGGTTGAAATTCGACCTTGCTGATCTGAATTCGGATGGTTTATTTCTCTCGCAAAGGCGAAAGCCGAAATACCTCTTTTTGATCTTTGAAAAAGGTGCTCTTGAGCACAAACAACGCAGGCTGTTGCCAGCAAAGATGGATCGACCAAGAACTGAATGAATAATAAAACTAATTCTTCTTTTCAGAAGAGATGCTTATTGGTACATGTAATGAACTAATGATTCTTATTTTCTGAAGAGATTCTTGTTGGTACATGTAATGATATATGAGGCATCAGTCTCCACAATTCAGAGGATGCTCAAGCTCAACCGGAGAAGAACAGCCGCGCGGCATAGACACGATCCACAAGAACGTACTGCTTGGAAGAAGGGAATTCGTCCGATCCGCGCGGCCGCCTCGAAGTCCGACACGAAGGCAGCCGACCTGCTCTACGGGCCGACGCGGCTCACGGTGCCGCCGCTGCTGCCGGACAGCTGCTCGCCTTTGGCCTCCTCCTCCTCCACGCCGTCGTCGCCGTCATCGTGGTCCGAAGCCGCGACCAGGTGGTGGTCCTCGGCTCCTCGCCATCGTCGTCGCTGCCCGAGTGGTGGGAGGTGTTTGCCTTCGGCACCTGCTTCTGATCTTGCGTTACCATCTGATTCTGAATCGGGCTCGCTTCCTGAACGACCGGGCTAACCGAAAACCGTTTCGCGACTGTGCTGGATGAGGCGTTGACGATGGTTTTTTCTGATGACGCGTCGTGAGCGCTGGAGGAAGCATTAGCAGCAGCTGATTCTTGGCCTGGATTTCCTGTGTTAATTACTGGTTCTTGGCCTGAGTTCGCCGTGTCAGTCAATTCATCATCAGTCCATTTATCATCTTCCTGATCCTGGACACGTGTGAGCAACAGAGCCCAAAGACAGAGCAGGCAGTCAGGATAACAATAGCAGAAGCAGGGATCATTCATTTGTTCCTGCAAGAGTTTAGTTTCACAGTATATGTAGTAATAGGAAACGGGCCTAAAAATGCTGGATTTACCTGGAACAAATTCAGGGGGACACCTGGTTTTACCCGGATGACCAACGGCAGCCTCCGCCTGCAAGCAAGATCAGAGAGCACCCGTCAGCCAACGAAAGGGGCGTTCTCCGCAACGTGCCTGGGTGGTTGTCCGCGGCCACGGTTCTCACTTCCTCGCGTCGACCCCCTCCTCCACCTTGTACACGAAGGGGATCGGCGAGAGGTCGCACGGCAGCGGCGGCGTGCTGAAGAACTGCAGCAACGGCACTTTCAGCAAGGAGCAACAAGAACAGGAGCGGGCCAAGAAGTAATCAGGTGACGACGCACGCTGCTCTGCAGGGCCTGTCCGGCGGTGCCGCGCGCGGCCGGGTCGAGCGCGAGGAGCGTGGCGAGCAGGCCGATCGTCGTCGGCGGCAGGTCGCGGAACCGCTCGGCCGTCGTGGAGTTGTACGTCTCGGGGGGCTTGAGCGACGGCGACAGGTTCATCTTCCGCCAGTAGTCGTCCGGCGGCGACCCGAACAGCTCGAAGATCTTCAGCAGCTGACCCTTCTGAACGCACCAAACATAGCAGGGGCAGCTCTTTTGTCGTCCCATCACAATTTCTCAAGAATTTTGCAGGACGAGAACCGAGAACAAGATGAGCTCAGCTCACCTCGCCACTGCCGTGCATGAGAGTCTTGCCGAAGAACATCTCGGCGAGGAGGCAGCCGGCGCTCCACAGGTCGACGCTGACGCCGTAGCTGGTGGCGCCCAGCAGCAGCTCCGGAGCACGGTACGGGAGCGAGACGACGCGGTTGGGGGGTGGCTGCCAGCGACCGGCGCCGTAGTCGCTGGCGAGGCCGAAGTCGCCGATCTTGAGCACGCTGTTGCGGTCGATCATCAGGTTGGAGTGCTTGATGTCCAGGTGCAGGATGCCGCGCTCGTGGCAATGCTGCAGCCCCTCGAGCAGCTGTTGCATGTAGCACTTGATCTGAAACCGAGCGAGCATTGACAACCATCAAAAGAAGAGGTTTCAAATGTGCTAGAATTTCAAAAAGAAAAAGAAAAAGAAAAAGTAATATTGACATTCAAGAAGCTTAGCTTAGATTACTTCTGATCTGTGTGCAGATTTCAGGTGCACTGGACTAGTTCTACTTCAACAGCAGTGTTTTATACTAAAAAGTGATTGTAAATTTCATGAAATTCAGGCATTGGGCGTTTCACTGTTCAGGAAGCAGGTTATCTGCCTTCGTTGGCAGGATTCACTGTTCGCAGCTTGAGCAGCAGAGCAGGACTAGATTACTCCATACCTCTGAATTGACCAGTTCACAGGTGCCACAGACCATAGATGTGACCAAGACATGTGCTAACAATATGCCAAACACAATCACTGTCAGACAATGGCAAACATTAAGGTTGATAGGAGCCGTGTCCGTGTAGCTTAGGAAAGTCTTTTTCCAGACGGTGGAATATTGAGTGTGTGTTTTTCGCGACCGTGCCTTAACACGTATTTCATTAAGCGGGAGGAGAAAGAACAAAAGGCAGTTACACAAAGGTTGGTAATCGCTTGATTACCAACGGAAAAGCAAACAGCAAACAGCAAACAGCAAACCCGAATATCCGAGTGTCCGATCTTCACTAACACAAGGTGCCCAACATGGCAACATGGCCGTCGGCCGGCCGGTGAGATGGATGGAAAGTCGAAAGGCAAACAGCCACAGGTACGTCAGAAGCAACAACCAGTTATAAGCGGCGTATCCAAGGCGAGTGATGAGTGAGTTCTGAAGAGGACGGCAGCCATGGCCAGGTGACCGTCGACACGTCGTCGTCGTCGTGGTGCATGGTCTTCGAATGAAAGAAAGGAAAGGGAAGGACGACGACGATACCTGCGGCTCGGTGAGGCACCTTCCGGAGCGGAAGACGAGCCTGGCGAGGTCGTCGTACATGTAGTCGAAGACGAGGTAGATGCTGCGGCGGGAGGTGGCGATGCTCTCCAGCTTCATCACGTTGGGGTGGTCCAGCCGCCGCAGGAACTGGATCTCCCTCGCCATGAACCGCACGCTCTCCGAGTCCGACCTGTTGAACCACACCTTCTTGAGCGCCACGATCCGCCCCGTCCCGCGCTCCCACGCCTGGGTCGCCGGCGTCGCGGCTGACGCCGCCTGTGCCGCGGCGTCGGCGTCGGCGTCGGCGTCGGCGTCCGGCGTCTTCCCTGTATAACAATGTGCCCCTGTCTGATTGCTAGAACTATTTTGGGAGGATGTTTCTTCAGTGCTGCTGCCACCACGCCATTTCGCTCGGGGCGCCAGCACGCACATCACCGCCACGGCGCCACTGCCGCCGCCGCCGCCGCCGCCATCCGCATCGCCATCTCTCTTCTGTGGAATGTAGACAGCGGGGCGCAGGGCCTGCACGAGCATGAGCACGAGCGTCGTCGAACAACATTAAAAGTACGAGGCCAGCGCCATCTCCGCGGACTCCGAGCATGTCCACGATAGTCTGGTCTCTTAGACCCGTCTGATATGGTTTGTATGGTTTAGATCATGTGTTTGTATGGTTTAGATCATGTGTTCCTATTTTTGTCTTGCGCTTTCTCTTCTCACGCTGTCGATATATCGCTCTCAAAACTATGCTACTACATATCTCAAACCTTGCTGTCATCAACCAAGCATTGATCCGTTGCTTTCACAGCACTATGTTACTATGCTCCTACAATATATCTAGCATGCTATGTCAAAAAAGCTATGCCATATGGATACACCTACATAGCTCATGCATGCTTTCCTTTTTGTCTTCTTCTCTAAAGAGCATCGATGGTAGCATACATGACAGGCTTCCTGTCCTCCGAGGCAGACCTTTCATGCAACATTTTCGTACCTTCTCGCAAGCACGGATCGAATGACCTCCCTTCTCGGTAATTATTCATGCTCCTGATATTGCCCTTTTATCCAACACTTCCATACATTTTCTCAAACACTTCCATGCCCTTAATTTCTTGATATAGCTGGTGCATTATATCATTGATAAAAAGAAACTTTAGACAGCCCTCCATACATTGTACATGTACGAATGGTCAATATCATCAACAGATTTGGCATACAATGTGTTCATATCCTAACATTCATGCACTTCCACACGAAGAAGACAAAAAGGCGTGAGATGGATGCATGCATGAAATGTCACCATCATGCACTTCCACACAAAGAAGACAAAAGGGCATCAGAAGCATGCATGCATGAAATGTCACCATCGTACTAGTGCATCATTTGTACTTTGTTGCTACTTTATTACTTGTTCCATGGGTCATTAGCGCCAATTAGTACCTTTGATATTTTGAAAAGTTGATTTCTTTGTTATTCCCAGACCAGTGCATGGGTTGAATTTGATTACTACATCGGATTTAAATTTTCCATTGTTCGCAGTAGATTAAATTAACCATGCATTATGTGCCCATGTGAACCTAGGTCATATCTATTTCTTATTCGTCGTGCTCTTACCGATAGTGCGTTCCGAGATTCTCCTCTTGCCTATATAATCATGACCTTCCTGCTGCTCCACGGCACCCCCTCATCTGTCTTTGCCTTTGTTATGTTCTTCGAGTCCTGCCTACTCGAGACACTCATGCAGGGCAGCGAAAGTTGAACTAGGAGACATTTGGTGCCAGAATATCAAGTTAGATATATTGAAACTGATGGTCCTATGAAGCATATTAAAAAAAGTAGTACCACACACCTTCCATACATTTAATTTTGTGACCACCTCAGGTCAAGAAACATCGCAAATTTACAGGCACAAAATCTACCGGCCTTTAAATCGTGTTAGACCTTTTCCTTGGGAATCGGTTCAACAAGAAAATATGTCGTCTGTGCATGCTTCTTGTCACTTTTGAGTTTGGTACCTTTATCTATGGAGATGATTTTATGCTCCTTTTAGGTGATCCACCAATAATGTTTCATGGAGGGGGCGCCTGCTAGCAATACAAGGAAGAAGGTTCGGAGAGAAGGCTCCTCCTCCCAGCCAGGTGCACTCTCTTGTGGTTGCATTATATATTTGCTTATTGTGTATAAGCAACAAATTTGCTATCAATGTTGCAGGAGTTGTTACACCATCTACTGGGAGAACTATACGGGAGAGGCAGGAGCGCCGAAGATCTATAATAAGAGCGAAGAAAGAAGGTAGTTATTGAAGTACTTCCTCCGCCCCTAAATAACTGTCGCCGTTGGTGTACGTGCCATAAGTTTGACTTGATTTGGAGAAAATGCGTGCAACATTAGTATCTCCAAATAAATTTGTTAAAAAACTAGATTCAAAGATCTTTCCAATGATACTAATTATGTATGATAAATATTAATATTTTTAATATATATTTAGTCAAAGTTATTTCTCAGAAAGCGAAAACGACATATATTTAGGGACAGAGAGAGTATGTTTATAATCCGAAGATATTGGTGCGCTCTTCGCAAGCCATGGACCCCTATATTATATTGGGGTACTAGCTAGGGTAGATTCTCTGGGATGACCAACTAATTATCTAACGTTGTTGTAGGTAGGGTTACAGGTTCCAGTAAGAGGGCAGCAGAGGGAGGGCAGCAGTGTCAGAGGCTAAAAGCAAGGTCAAGGAAAGAAGGTACTTGTTTGCATGTGTGTGTCTATATATTGCAAGCAGAAAAATCATATTTTCCTTGGTGGTGGTTGTAGATGACGAGATATCATACTACGAGCCTCCTGCGCACAAGTGTCAGTACTGCGGTGCGCAGTTTTGGTACCAAGAGCGTGTGAAAAGAACGTATCGAGGTGAAGGAGACCGTGCACGTTTTCATCTCTGTTGTAGGGGAGGTAAGGTGCGCTTGCCTCTTCTAAAAGATCCCCCTCCATTTCTAGCTGGTTTGTTGAACCCAAATTGTGATACTTTCTCTAAATACTTCATCAAATCTATACGTTCATACAACTCCATGTTTGCTTTCATTTCACTTGGTGCTAAAATTGACATGGATATAAACAAGGGTCCTAGCACGTATGTCTTTAAAATTAATGGACAGGTCCACCATCGAATTGGATCTTTACTACCAGATGAGGGTAAGTCTCCTGTATATGCACAACTTTATATTTATGACACTGATAATGAGGTTGAAAATCGAATATCAATTTTTGATAGGGATAGGGACTGTGAGGGTGAGAATGAAATTGATAGAAGAATTGTCGAGGGCTTAGTGAGGATGTTTGATGCAGCAAATGAGCTGGTGAAATCCTTTAGGGCAGTTAGGGAGTCCAAAACAATAGTTGCCGCCACTTCTACCTATATGTAGCGAATCATTAGGCAATCACGGGCTGTGGCTGGTTTTGATGGCAAAGGGAGATGTCTTAGTCAATACTCAAGGTAAGATAATAAATCGTTTACCTTGCATCCGACCGAGCAAAACTGGGCCACATCCATTAGGGCACGTTTGCATGAAATACATTCAAACCTATGGGGCCGGCCGCCCCGGCGCTTTAACCTGACCATGGAGCCTCTATAGGTGCCCCGCTTGGTGAGATGTAGGACCTTAAATCCATTACGCTCATACTGTTGTATCCCCGTTATATCGATCACCCCTACGATATCTTGGACCCGTACCACTTCATTCAATGATGCTTTACGCATCTGTATGATGATTTATGAGGCATTAGCTACATGTTGCAGTGGATAAAGATTAAAAAAAGCAACGTGCTATTTGGTAAGCAAAAGTTTGAAAACCTGTAACATCCGGTGAGATGGATGACTTCCTTGGCAGACGTAGCACAAGGCCTCTTGCTGTAGTTCTCGACAGTCTAAGCAAAAGTAGCTGCATGGAATGTCTTTTTGTTCGCTGCTGTGCACTGGACAAGGGTGACCAAACTTGTTGCCGACCAACGCTGCAATGCGCTCGACACTTACGTGGCTGACAGCCATTAGGTGTGTGCCTCGCTATGTTGGGGGGAGAAGGAGATTTCAGCTATCAAATAGTTCTTAGTGTGGTGTTATAGTTTCCACCCTCCATCTAATACATTGCAATGCGCATCCCCGCTCCTACATGGCAGTTAGCACTGCTGTGATTCAGTGCTTATGATAGGAGACAAGGTTACGTGATATCAAAGTAACATATTTGTGAGAGGGCGCATGGGAGTGGAAGCTTTGTAAGATTCGGATACCCCACCTATATGTCTAGGCTCTACTTGCATGGTGCTAGAGAACGTAGGAGGGGTGTCTTGGAGGCTCCAAGGGTGGGCTATTTATGGGGACCAGGCTAGACTGGACTTCCTTGTCTTAATTGGTAGACTTTGATTCCCATGCACACATCAATTATTCAGCAATAGTCATACGAACATTGGCCTCGATCTTACCTTTACTACGTGGCTACGCTTACATACATACTCCCTCTATCCCTGAATAAATAGATTCCTAGAGTTGTCTTAAGTCAAACTTTTTAAACTTTAACCGAATTTTTATAAAAAAAGGTAAGATTTATAGTATCAAATTAGTATCATTAGATTTAGCATAAAATATATTTTCATAAGGTGTTCATTTTATTTCATAGATGTTGTTATTTTTTCTATAAAGTTAGTCAAATTTAAAAAAGCTTGATTGGCACGGATTCTAGGAATTGATTTATTTGGGGACGGAGAGAGTAATGATTTAGTCCACCTTTATAAGACCAAGAAAACTGAGCTATATTCATGCTAGCTCATCCACCATCTCATCTGAGTGGAATTTTTTGCACTAGACGACAGTCGAGGTGTGCCTCCTTTGCTAGCTAAGGGGATGAACTATACAGAACACTGGTTATATTATTTTTTGTATTTTGATATTGTAAATTGATAATGCCCCAAAAGAACAGCTACCTGGAAATGTGTTACATCTCAGTATGCAAACACATAGAAGGTCGGTCAGAAGAGTACGCATAGCAGTTTTTTTTATTGAGATCGGCCTCAACATCTCACATGAGTGCTCTCTCGTCCCGGCCGGAATTTTAGGCGCCATGTCGTGCTATTCCTGTTCATGCTCCGCCTTGGCATGCTGTATATCTTCTACCCTCGGACAGGTAGTGAGCCTAAGGCGAAGACCTCTAGCAAACCATCTAGCATCCTCACTTGATTTTAGATCGAGGGGATCCTAAATAATGGCAACCCTCCTCCTTTCTCTTCTTACTCTAGCTTGCATTATGGTCTTCCTGGACCACGTAGCCGGTACAAAAAACATAATATTGGCTACTGCTTCCTTCTCTAGCGTGTACTTGCTCATCTTCTACTCCAGGCATGCCATCGCCTCAACTTCATGCGCAGATGAACGGAGGACTAGCATACGCACTGCATGGTGTGCCTCACTCATTCTTGTGTTGATTCTAGGCTTCCAGGTAATTATAGTATGCTTTGCATAGTCAACAATAATCTATGTGTCTGCTTCACCGATTCTTGTGGTGCCTCTTGACCTTCAGTGCAGGTGAATATGCTGCCTGATCAACAATGATCTATATCTGGATGATTGCGGTATGTGTCCAGCTAGTTGTGTTGATAATTCTTGAGGTTTTGCGGCTGACGCAGACATAGTTGAAGGATTGCAACGGACCAATCCATCGACAATAGGTTTATTTGAAAAGAATAGCTAGATATGAGCTACAAAGGCGATGATGCGGTTATGTCATGTCATCCTCGTGTGTGGTTAGATGCTTCATACAAGTAATGCAAGTAATACTAGGTTAGGGTTACCCATTTAGCCACGGTAATCCTAGTTAGTTGCCAATCTAACGACCATCCGGTGTAATGTCCATTTCTACATGATTGTATTAACTCTGTGCTACTCTACCTAGAATATAGTATGCGCTTTGCATGTTTTGGGTAAGTTTCACCGTCGGACTCAATACATTATGCTCTAAGGTAGCCAGCATCCTTGTTATGTCTCATGCAGCTTTTTGTGGGCAACATTACCATTGTTGAGAGTACATGAAAGGCACTGTTCAAGTATTATAAGGCGGTGTCGTGGATTATATTACTAGATGTTATAGTTTTTTTTGCAAGCTATAAGAGATTATATATTGCTATTGTCTTTGTTGTTGTTGTTTGTCCGTAAAGCGTGTGTTGTTGTATTTTTATAGTGCTGTAATTTAAGGCCTCAAGTAAGGGTTACTCCCATGCCCCTTCAAGTTACTGAGTGTTGCATCAAATGTTTCATGGAAGGACTTAAACCCGAGCTAGCTATATATTCAAAATGCAGTTGATAGTTGAAAGATTACGGCCACTGTAGAGTTGCTGCTGAAGTTACCTGTGTTTTTCAGAGACTTGCATGA